GGCCCTATTCAAGCGACAGCTGCATAGCCACTACGAATGCGTACCCAAATTCACCGCCACAGAAACCCGCAACCACGAGCAGCGAGAAGCAACCCCAAAGCTCCGCACCAGCCCCGCCCGAAAAGCACGCGCGCGGAAATTGCCGCGCGGGAAGGCGGCGCGCCTCCGCGACGATGAACAAGCGCAGCATACCGCTTTCACACCGAGCGTCTCCGTCGCAATGCTTTCCCATAGTGGTCGCAGCGCGGAGTGGTAGGGGGTTTTCGAAAGGAGGGGCTACGCGGTTACGGTGGGGGGTGCGTTTCTCATAGGGGGCGGCTCTTGAAGGCGCTGCGGGCCCTCCCCCAGTGAGGCCGCGCGCTGCCGGCTCGCAATCGCCGCCGGCTCCCTTGGCGTTCGGCGGCTTCTACTTTTTTTTTCTTTTTGCAACAGGACTCGCACCCTTTTTATCAGTTGTGGGGGACCTTTACCATTCCGCATTGAGGGGGTGTAACAACTCACCATCGGTATCCTCCATTATTTTAGCGCCGCACTCAGCAAGAATCCTTTGCACCACTAGCAGTGAAGGCGGACGCTTCTTCCTCTCAGCCCGAGAACTAACAAGAGCCATTTTGGTGGCGAAATTGTAGTTGGTAAAGTGTAAATCCATTAACTTGACATGTCGAGGAGACGTTGCTCCAGCGTTACGTTCAGCCTCACTCAATATTCGTTTGGCCTGCCTCATGGAAGGTGCACGGAAAGTAGAAGCGCACGATCCCATCGATTCCGCTGCCTTTCTGCTTACTACTTGTTCTGTTTGAGTCCTTGTATAACTTCCCGCTTGCCTCTCCCTCCCCACCCCCCCAAAAAAAGGGGGGAGGTTCTCACGCTATTTCTCGCTCAACTGAGAGTTGTCTCTGATCCCCAGAAACAATGGAATACGGAGCGGGCTTTCAAACATCAATAATAATATTGAAAAAAGAAGGAAAATATCATTTTTTCCCCTTTGACAAGAAAGCACTCTCACGGTGTGAAACAAAGGTCTTAACAAAGCAGAAAGCAAAAACAAAAAAGTGTGTGGAAAGAAACCACAGCCACAGGAGTATACAATGTGCAATAGATACGTCATTGTAGCGTCAATGCCAGCATCCAGTATTTGGTACCCGGCTGCACTTCGCACCACGTGAACTCGGCCCTCGTTGCCGCCGACTCGTTGATATTGACCAAGGCTTAACCACCTTCTCATGTTAATGCACGAAATACACCCTGTGGAATTCGTAAAGCAAGCAATGTCATCAACAAAAGCAGCTTGTATATTGTGAAAACGACCGCCAGCTGTGCTTATCCTCATTTCGGAGACTGGTTCTTTTGTACTCATATATCGTAGATCCCATAATTTCACTTCACCGTTAATAGAAACTGTAACAAAGTTATAAGTATCTCTCACGCAATTAATATAAGATATGGACACCGCCTTAGACTTAATAGTGGAAGTGAAGGAGCAATGAGTTCGCACATTTTGCAACGATTGTACTTGAATGGCACCATTCCTCATTCCACACAACACCACCTGATTGGCAAGCGGCCCCACCGAAAATGTATCCACCGAAGAGATAGGGGTTTCAGAAAATGTACACAATTTATGGGGTCTGGGAATCATGGACTCATGCAAAGCAGCGGTAAATAAACTCCTCCCGGAGACTAGAAAGACACAAGTTGTACCTTGGCCTTCTAAAAATGCACTGGTGCATGAAAGAGAAAAGGTTACGTTGGTCTTGGGAGAAGAATTCCATAACGCAAAATTTGACGAGGTATCAAAATCCCAAACAAGCTGCTGAAGCCGATTTTTTCTCATAATAAGCATAGCATTAGGACCAACAGCATGCATTCCAACTATGTCAGTGCTACCATCGGGAATCCTGAGAGAGTGCGGTAACAATGTGTCATTTTCCACAACATAAAGATTTGATTGAGGGGCCGTACCTACGAAAGCAAAACGACCATCCAAAAAACTTGTAACTGCGCCAGTTGGATCTATTTGGTATGCAGGGTGTCTCCAGCCACCAGTTTCGTTACACAAGCAGACTGGAGATACCAAACGTTCTTTAAAACAGTCTTCCATTGCAACGCGAGAATACCTAAAATCCTGCAAAAGCGGTGGCTTCAACATTTTAAAGGAGGGTGAGGGAAATTCCTTGATGTCATGGAAAACATAAAACCCAGTATCGCTGACTTCCTTAAGCGTAACTTTCTTGAATCCAGGAGTTGTTTCTTCAAAAGAGACATCCAGAAGCTGAATAGATGAAGAAGATAAACAAGGACGCCTCTTTCGTCGTACATTTGCATCACCAAAAAATGCTTCTGGGTTTCGCCTCACTGAACGTATATGAAAGTGTTTTTTTCTGAAGGGGCAGTATATGGTACCATATTTTACCTGCACAGTTTCACCATTATAAACAGTAGTTAATGGTCTAGAAGTGGGTAGGGCCCGTTCCTCATCCCGCATTCGCCTGACGTTGCGCCGCAAAGCCGTTCGAAGTTCCTCATCCGAAGAAGACGAAGACCAATCCACTGGCATCACACCCTACCCCTTGTTAATATGCAGATAATGGCAAAAAAAAAAAGACAGACAGACAGACAGACAAAACCAAAATAAATAAAAACAATGGAAGCTGGCAAAAAGTTTATGAGAAGGACTACGTAACAATACGGATGTATTTAAAAAAAAAATGAGCGACCCCAAGCTCGAACATGACAGCAATGTTAATACTTCCCCACAAGAAAAAAAAATGTCAAACAGACTTCCCCAACCCACCCCGCTCTCGCGACAAAACATTAGACAGAAATACGTATATGTCGCGCCGTATAATTTATGAATGCATGTGTTTTTGTTTTTGTTTGCTTTTATTGATCTAAAAATACTAAACCCCGAGGCTTTTCAAGAATGCATCGCTGTTAGGCTCTCTACCCAGAAATTTTTTCAGCATCTCACTTGGATCCTTGCCACCTCCAACACCAATAATGTCGGAAATGTAACGCTTGCCGAGTACAGGATCTAGCAGACCGTTATGACTCTTGATATACCCGTACACATCAAGAGCAAAGACCTTGGACCACATATACCCATAATATCCCGCACCATAACTTGTAAGATGCCCAAAAGAACATTCAAAATGTGTGTCATCCGCATACTTAATATCAGGATTAATCCTTGAGCGAACATTTTTTATCAGCTCCGTAGTATCCAATTTATTGGTGTCTTTTCCGCCTGCAAAAGAAGCGGAAAAAATTTCCAGGGAATAGGTGGCAAATTCCAACTGTCTTAAGGAATCCCGACCGCTAAAGACATTTCGAGACTTAACCTTTGCCTCCGCAAGCCCACTGGGCAAATGTTCATGCGTTTTGTAGTGAGACGTTATTTTTTGAAGAAGTTCCAGCTCCCATACCCATTCCTCCAGCATTTGGGAGGGTAATTCAACAAAATCCCGTTTGACATTTGTTCCAGCAAAAGTAGCCATGCGACTGCGCCCCAGAAGCCCATGAATAGCGTGACCAAATTCGTGAAAAAATGTGACCACATTATCGTGAAGAAATAACGAAGGTTGATCTTTCGAAGGTGCCGGAAAATTCGCAATTACAACACCCAAGGCAGGTGAAAATTCGTCTTCCGATCCACGCAAAAGAACAGGAGGAACAACCTGGTGACAGCAAGCATGTGAATACTTTCCCTCACGTGGAAAAAGGTCCATAATTACGTGTCCCAACGTCCTTCCAGTTGCGTTGTCCTTGACGCAAAGCGTAAAAACACTTTTATCCCAAAATTCGGAACCGTTGTCAATACGGGTAAAGTTAATATTAAAAAAAGCCTGATATATATCAAACAAACCCTTAACAGTAACATCAAGCGGAAAGTATTCTTGAATTTCAGTCTCGCTAACATTGAATTGATTCTTTTTAATTTGGTTCATCATGAACGCCACATCATATTCCTGTAAGCGTCCATCCTGCGTCAAAATACAGCTTTCGTGTAAGTTTTTTTTAATCAACTCCAGTTCAGATTTCCATTTCTGCTGAAGCCGAGGAATAAGATCATCAACAAACGCCTTTGCAGTGTCAGGAGACTTTGCCATCTTATCATCCAAATTAAGATAACTGTAGGAAGGAAAACCAAGCAGTTCTGCTAAAGCCTGTCTTTTGACAATCATTTCTTTCAGAACCGGCTCGTTCACAGGATATGCCTTGTTGCTCGCAGCCCGAGCCATAGCTTGGCGGGTGGAAGCCACCTCGGCGTTTTTCATCACCCCAAAATAAGTTGGGTAGTCCATTTTCAATATAAGCCGACCATCCTCTCCCTTTTCGAGTCCTTTGACAATGGATTCTGGCACTCCTTTAAGACCTTCAGCTGAAACCAAAATTTCAGTCCTATCTTCACTTATATTTCGGGAAAAGGTTGTACACAAGGCCGAGAGATCTTTGTTTAATGCCACAACTTCTTTAAAGTTGTCCTCTGGTAACTCCATACCTTTTCTTCTGTAAGCTTTTAGCTCATTCTCAAGCCAGTAAGAGTATTCTTTGTCTTTCTTACCCTCCAAGTATTCTTTCTGATATTCAACGCTCTGGGAAACATCCTTCAGGGCCTCATAAAGACGTTTATTGTACTGAAAATTGTCAATTTCAAAAGAATTGAGCTCAATAACTTGCTTGTTGGCCTCCTCACGTGTCGCTTTATCTGCGGAAACGCTCATAATCACGGAAAGCAAACTTGAAGAAACGGCAAATTCCGCAGCTGCAACATCAACAGCCACGGCGGTGTTGGCAAATGTGCGCTTTCCCGCAACTGAGTAAATTGCATTCAACTTTTCCAATGCTCTGGTCTTTGCCGCCTCTGCCACCGCGCGACAGGCAGATACATCCTTTGGAAACAAGCACGCGCACTTTGATGCAGTATCCACATCTGCAAAAATACGCAAGGCCATTCTCATATATATTATTATCAAATATCAGTTGGTGGTATTGTCTCGTTGCTTTGTTTTGTTTTCTTCCTTTTCGTCCTGATTTTTTTGTATTATTGTTTCCTCTACAAGTTAAATACAAACCACAGTAAGAAGGAAGAAAGAAAAAAAAAACAGAGAAAAGCAATGCAAAAAAAAAACACTATGAAAGACAATATACAAAACAAAAACAAAAACTAGAAACATCGTGCCAAACAGAAAACAGCATAATAATAATTCCAAAAACACATCATTATTCGCATACAATACAAAATCCAAGAAGCCTCCCGAGGCCAGAGAATTTTTATATATTTAAACACCCAGATTTTTAAAAAACGAGTATAACCATAAAGCCACCTTAGACCCCAACATGAGAACGACAAGAATTTCCAAACCACACTCAAAAGCAAAACAGTCAACTTCAATATGTTGCAATCAACAGGGCCGAAATGCCACAAAAATCTGTCGTATTTGTCTTCGCACTGATCATACTTTCATGCCTCCAAAGAAAATATCACGTACCACCTTGCTGCCCGATGAAACCCAAATTACTCCCATGAACGACAAACCCGAAGCATAACCCATGTCGTTTTTCGATTTCTTTGAAAAGCCAGCAAATATACAAACATTTTGCCCCACCACATTTTGCACCTCTTCCGAAGCAACACTCGCCGCCCCGCGCCGCAGTCTCTTTGTTCTTTTTGCTTCCACACGCCCCCGTGCGCGCCTTGGGCGCCCGCATCTCCCCGGGCCGCCTCGTCCTATTTCTCCCTCGGTTGCTGGAACGGCGCCTGGGCCGCCGCGCGGGGACGGGCAAATGGTGTCGGGGCCTTTCTGCGGGATCAGCCCCCGCGCCTTTGGCACGGCCCCAATGAAAAAGTTGCAATCTGGAGCTTCCGCGGCGCGCCCGGGCAGGATCGCGGAGCCGGGAACAAACAAAGCAAACCGAAAAGCGTGCCGCCCCGCACCCGCCCGCGCCGGCCTCGCCGCCCATGCGGGGTATAAAAGGCGGGCCGCGTCGTTTTACAGGGCGGCCACGCCCTGAAGAACGCTCTTTCTCAAAAAGGGAAAGGGGGAAAAGGAAGCAGCGCCCTTGCTGCGGGTCAGCTCGATCTTGCTCTTGCCTCTTGCGGCGCTTTCCCAAGGGCGCTTGGCAACCTCACGAGCTCCTTGCTAACAGCCTGGCTTTCCCGCGAGCGCCCGAACGGCGCGGCTGGCGAAGCTTCTGGCGGTTTTTCTTTCCAAGAATAGGGTTTTTTTCTTTTTGGTTGCGCAAAAAATGTTAGGTTTTGGAGCAAAAATAGAAGCCCAATAACGACATTAAGAAATCTGCGT